TGCACACACACTATTAGTTTATGGAGTTTACTTGGAAGTGAAATTAAAATTTTGCTTATTTTTGTTAATATGGTATAATTAAGCAGCGTATGTTCAAGCAAGTAATGAACTTTGAAGCTGTATAAACGAAGAAGCTATTATTGAGAACTCTGAAGTGTGATATAATAATGAATTAAAGGGTACATTTGTAAGGAAAATTATTAAAGCAAAATTCTGTGAAGAATGATATAACACTGTATTTTGTTTAGTACTTCGAAAGATGCCCTAAACCAGACTAAGGTCAACCTGAACATGCTAGTTTTGTGTTGGGTTTTAGTCATGTTAATGGGTCGTATCAAATTTTGTCACCCCTAGCAATCACTCTTGACCTGTTTGAGTAACACATTCTTCTTGTGTCTTTTAGTTGCTTTTGATAATATTCAAGTTAATTCCTCTCATTCAATCTCCAACTATGTTACATGGACTTTTCAACAACTGGTGAAGTACTTATGTCCGATACACATTGCTCCGATATGATTATGTGGTATGTGTCCGACATTTCTTGTTAGACATGCACCTAAAAACCATGCATGTACAATCATTTAATTTTATTATATTATTGCTTCAAAATGAGTGAAATGCCAATATTGCACAATATGTCACATAAAGACATTATTTTACTCAGAAAATAAAATAAAATATTAAATATATAAATATTAAGCAGTGTCCTTGTATCTTTTTGTTTAGAGATTTGGCATATCTGTCGTGTGGATATTTACTCACATTCGAAGCATGTACGGGAATCAATGTAACATAGACCCACAAAGAAAGCCAACATCCAATTATGAAAATAAATCATCATGGAATCATTTTCATGAAGTCGTAAAACTCACTCTATTCTATATCATCATTTGTGACAGAGGATCGGCTTTTGAAATGGTGCCTTATTGAGGATAGATTAGTCTCTTTGTATCTTATGTTAAAACTAAGTCGCCTATCAATTTCTATAAGGCATCCCAATGCTTGCGAAGTTTATTAAGAAATTTAGTAATGCTATGTTTGAGAGCACCGAATCGGTGGTTTGGATTTGGGTTCGAAGGAAATTTAGTTAAAACTTTGAACTAAATTTCTTCAAATCCCAAATCCAAACACCGATTAAGTGTTTCCAAACACAACATAAGAATCATTCATTTCATTGGAGAAGAGGTTGAATTAAATATGTTTGAAGCTGTTTGGGACGCCTTATTTCTAATCTGATATGATTTTTTAACAATTGCAGCTTCAGAATTGAATCGTTCAAGAGCAGAAATGAGAGAAGCTCCAGATTTTTCAGGATCATTTTTTGCATATTTCGCTTTTGTTCTCCTTATGTTCACAATCTTTTACAATGTACTATTTATTACAGTAATAAAACCGTCCATAGATGGCCCAGACGAACCATTTCCGGATACAACTGCTGTAACAAAATCTCCAAAAGCAACAATTTTGAAGCAGTTGCCACCGATATCATAAGTTCTCATACAGACCAGAAGTTGTAGTTACTTGTAAGTAAATCTTAATCAAGCACTAACTTTTATTTCATTTGCTAGAAGTTTTACACAGCAGTAACAATCATTTCATTGCTTGTCACTTCAAAGTACAATCCAAAATTATTTTGAGAAGGACGAGGTTTGTAGACTTGATCAAAAGCCTATACTGTATAATTGTTGAAGTGCATCGGCAGTGACATCATTGGATATTTTATGTAGTTCTGAAAATTAGTGTTTTTCGATTGTTTTTGTTTTAGGTTGCTTTGTTTTTATGTGTTTTGATTTAGTTAATGTTCCGTGGCTGCTTTTATTCTTCTTCTCAGTTTTTGTTTTTATTCTTGATTATGCAAATTCTGTTGAAATGTTCTTGCTTCCGAATAGTTATCTGGTTTATTTGAAATACTGAAGACGAGTGACTCTGTTCATATGAAACCCGCAGCAGCACCACTATTGGATGCATATTGTAAGTAGTCTACGATTGCACATGTTCACGCATGGTGTGCCCTTTTCTTTTCTTGTAATAATGTGATGCCACAAATAACTAGTTGTGTTTAGTAGGTGTCATGTAGTGCCCTTTGCTTCTGTTCATTGAAGGCAGGGATCAGCATCAGTGGAAGTAGGAAATAATTTTAAAAAAATAGAAATGTGGGTTAATTTTATATTTTTCTAGGATCCATAAATAAGGTTTTACCGTTATAGAACATGGAATTCTAGGGGAGCAATGAACAGATGTAGGTATGAATAGAGCAAGAGAAAAGGTTAATAAAAAAATGGAAGAGAAAAATTATGCAAAACGGCCACTTATTAATGGAATTCGTTGTCGGCACACTCTGAAATACTCATTTGGACAAAGGCTTCCAAATACATCATAAGCTAAACCCGTGCTCCCCTCTTTCCGTTAGACTATCTGTTCTTGTATAATTTTTTTAATAGTACACCAGTGAAAGGACTTTTTAAACTTACTCCTGTTTTTTTTAGTTATAGGGAGGATTGAACATTGTGCTCAGGAAATGGAACCAAGCAAACCCTGTATTGTTAAGTTCATTTGGAATCATAGACATATGAACGGTCTCTGTAACAACATAAGGTGAAGGATTGTTCAATCAAAAGATTATCGTCTATACGAAAGATCGATCCATTCGTCCTTGTAGGGGGTTTCTTTATAAAGCGAGCCATTTTGAATGTATTGGTGTTTGACCAAAAGCCTAACGTAGATGTTATGGGGTTTGTTCACAGCTTAGATAAGGGCATCTTTTATTGGGGACGCTAATGATATCAAAGTTTTATAGTTTTTGAATAAGAGATGTTAGAAATACTGAGTGCACATGAACTAAAGGATGTTTATTGATTCTCTCTCGATTGGTTGGATTGTAGGTGTGATGATTTAATGGATAGATAACAAGGTCTCTGATTCAAGTCATGATCTCGAAAAACTGAAAATGAATGGCCTTTTTTTTTCTTTCAAATCGATGCATAATTTACTTATGCAGTGGAACAAGGTCCTTGTCCTTGAGCTGCATTCTGCTGAAAAATGGACTGACTAAATCAACCATTAAGGAAAAAGTTGTATATATCAGAGTCAATCCTTATTAAGTACCTCAAAATTCAAGATCCAAGTTCTAGTGTGTATTAGTTACCTCAAAAAAAATGGTAGTGCAGCATCTCTGTTAATTATCATGGAAAATATGAATGTGATCCGAATGAAGAAAGAAGAATTATTATTATTATTTTTATTTCAAATTTATTGAATTGTTTGTTGTGTGGCCACTTGGGCCTCTTGTCTTTGGGCCTGGATCTTCTTTTATTTTACCTGCTCTTGAGCCTCCTGCATCCGGACCTTGATCTTTCTTTCCTTGTGTGTCTACGCCTCTTGCTTTTGCAGCCCAATATATACGTACTGTAAATATTTACACTATTTATACAATTTGCTTGAATTTCAAAATAATAATAATAATAATAATTCATTGTATTGAAGCAGGAGGATTACTCATCTATTTTCTTATCCTTGCCTCCTCATTTTTCATATATAAAAAATATATATTTATTTCTAGCTTCCCTCCCCCCCTCATTTTTTATCTATAAAAGAAAAAATATTTATTTATTTTGATCATAAAAAATATAAAAACATCTAATGATATACTTCCTCAGTTTCAAAAAAAAAAAAAAAAAATGGCCACCTTGCTATTTTTAGCTGTTCCAAAATAAGTGTGCATTTAAAAAGTCAATGTACTATGTTTTTTTTTGTAACATCATCATTTTAACTTTCTTGCATTGAATTTATAAAAAAAAATCATCACATCATTATGGATTTACTATGAGTAAATTTGATAAATTATTTACTATCAATATAATAAATAAAAAAACTAAAAATCATCTTCCTAAAAAAGTTAGATTCCCAAAAATTGGGATAGCTAATAAGTAAAACTGTTTTAATACGAATATATATATATATATATATATATATATCCCATACACAAACCTATTTATCCAATATCAACAAACACATGGTAACAAATATAATAAACTGATGTAAGATTGAAGTGTTGCATGGACCATGAACACGTACAATGTTGCATTAATGAAGACAGAGTGTTGCTTGATCAATTCAGTGGGATGTATACACAAATTTTTAAATAGTAGTAACAATAAATCTCAAAATAATAATAAAAAATGAATTAAATAAATAAATAAAAACCTAGATGTATCCTAAATACTTTTAGCTTTTCGATGACACGAAGATATTGTATTAAAATATGGAGTTTTGATTGGGAGTGCTTTTTGACTAAAGTTTTTTTTGATGTAAATTGACCGTTCAAATCTTGAATCTGACGTTTGTGGAGCCCACTCATTTGGGTGGGTCTTCTTATGTTTTTTTTTTTTTTTTTTTTTTTTTTTTGCCTTACGCGGTTTCGTACTCTGCCTTTTTAAAATTATGACTGGAAAACAGTGCTCTGTCTCTGCCAGCTTTATTTTAAAAAGAAAGAGTGGGACATGTTTCTTTTGATTAGGTAAAGAAAATCCCGGAATTTCATCACCACTCCAGAAGGTCGAGGCACCCCTTCATCTCTTTCGTCTCTCGGTCTTTCAAATTTTACCAAACACACATTTTCTCTCTCCTCTCTCCTCAGTTTAGGAAAGACGAACAAAACCAACCAATTCTTTCCCACTTGGCTTTCGGAGGATTTTATTTTTATCTGTATTAAAATAAGTGTGTATTTGAAAAGTTGATGTACTATTTTTTTTATTTTTAATAACATTAGTTTATAAAAAATAAATTATCAAATCACTATGAATTTATTATGAATTATTTACTATCAATATAATATAAAAGTACACAAAAAATCATCTTCTTAAAAAATTAGATTTCAAAAAATTGAAATAGAGGGAGTAATAACTAATAACTACAAGTGTTTTAATACTAAAAAGAAAATAATAAATCCCATACACAAACTTATTGATGCAATATCAAGAAGGAAGGCGATGGTTTTGAGCACGGAAGGAAGGGTTGCATAGGATTCCGTCAAGCGGATTAGGAACGAACCAATTGCAGTGAGATTTCACAGCAAACAATCAAAGCTAGATAATGGTTGTGTGATTGGGATTTATTATTATTAAATAGGTGATGGTATCTGAGAGGAAACCATCAAGCCTTTTGTTTTGTTTTGTATTTCTTTACTCTAAATAAATAACATTACAGTCCATAAAAACAACCCAAGACAAACACAAAGCTAGCTAAATAATAATAAATCGGTAATGGCCGAAGAAAAAAAATCAGAGTTTCAGAAGATGTTGGAGCTTCTTCAGAGAGATATAGATGAAAACAGATCAAGCAACACAGAGTCTCCTCCGATGGCTGGCGAACTGCTCGCACCAAGACCAAGGGTCCATGGCATGTATAGGGTCCCGGGTGTGCTTTATGAACAAAACAGTGACTCCTATCGTCCAAGCTGCGTATCTATTGGGCCTCTTTGGAGAGGAGAAGAACATCTAAAGGAGATGGAGGCGGTGAAAAAGAGGTATATGGGTGAGCTACTTGAGCGAAATGGAACACTTGCGGCAACACTAGCAGAATATACGGAAGCTATGTTCAACTTGATGTCCCGTTTTATGGAATGCTATTCCCAAATTCTACGTTGGGATTTCGATTTAGATTATGCAAGAGACACGATGTTAGATGGTTGCTTCATAATTGAACTTCTTTACAAGAATTACGTAAACATGTCCGACCCAATTTTGCAGAACCATTTGAAGTACAATCAGGTCAGACGTGACCTGCTATTGCTCGAGAACCAGATCCCCTTCTTCCTTCTTGAAGAATTGTTCACGCTGACAGTGGAACCTATCCAGGTAAGTAGAACTAGTGCAGGGCGCCGCCCAATCTCCCTCCGTAGATGTGTTCTTTCATTCTTTGGAGATATGATGGGACCAGAAAATATTGGTGGTGAAATAGAAAACCTGGAAAACAATTGCCCTCATCATATACTCCATTTTTTACACATTTGTTACCAATCTCCTTTGCAGAAGGAACCCATATGGTACAAACACAAAGAGAAACCGACATTCAAATACAGTGCAACAAAACTCCATAGTATGGGAGTTGAGTTTGGGCCAGGGAAGAGAGTAAGCCTATTTGATTTGAAATTTACCACGGATCGTCGTTGCTTTTGTTTGTGGAGAAGAGCCCATTTCAAAATCCCAGGTTTCTCTATCAATGAATCTACTGAATCACTTTTGAGAAACTTCATTGCTTTCGAGCATTCTTGTCCCGGTATTGACAAGTACTTCACATCTTATGCTTTTGCCATGACCATCCTCTTGGACTCTACAGAAGATGTTAAATTGCTTGAAGAAGCCGGAGTCATTAGAAACAAGTTGGGTTTCAGTGAAGCGGTGTCAGAACTCTTCAAGGATATTACCAGCAATGAAAGCATTAATGTAAGAAATCAAAAACTTCTTTATAAGGATATGTGGATGCAGGTGATGGGTTTTTGCACACCTTGGCGACTAGCTCTTGCTAATGCAACCACACAAATGGCAGTAGCTGCTGTCATTATCCTGAATCTCATCACACTTTTGTCCTCCATCTACACCGTGCTTTCTTATTATCGCAACTAGCAAGGTAACTATTTCATGTGTATCAGCGTGTATGTAGGACTACTATTCCTTTCTTCCAACAAATCCGTGTAAGTCATTTATGCACTGTCATCTTTATGCTTGTCATTCACATCTCTCTTTATTGTATGATTCTCATTATCATTAGTGTTTGATATCTTCCCCAATCATCTTGAATTACTATGAAGTCAATCTTAATATTACAACTCGCAGATCGAATTTGTTCAAAATTGCAATATTTAACTTGCATCTGCAACTATTTCAGATCCACTATAAGGTGAGACTTGAGACATCATTGACATTTAAGAAAATCCTAGCTGTCTTCTGGCCTTAAAAAATTAAGTTGGTTCTGCAATTAAAAAATTCATGGTGATGATGCTATGGTCATCACCCAGCTGTCTGGTTCATTAGCTGACAACTACGTCAGTTTGCTCCAACACAGCTTCTTTCCCCTCTAGCTTGTGAGCATTCATTGCTCCTCATTTTTTTTGCCCCTATGCTCTTCTTCTTTTTGGTTAGAGTCCCGTTAATTGGCTAGATGAAAATAAATGCTAGAAAATGAAAGTGATATGAAGGAAAAAAAAAATTAACTTTTTCAAGTTTTATTTGGGTAGTTTGAAAATTTGTCAATAAACTTGCAAGAAAATCTCATCTTATAGTTTGAATAGCATAAAAGTTAATAAAAAATATTATTATTTACCTAAACTTTTCATTTCATATTAAATATGTAGGTCTAAATAAATTTATATTTAATAAATATTTTTAATTTTAAAAAATTAAAAGTAATATAAGAATTTAAATAATAAAATTTTGTGATAAAGCAGGAGAGAGGAGGGTAACTATTATAATATTCTTACCAAAAATAATGCATAAACAATTCCATAGAGTTTTCTCAATAAAGCAAAACTTTCCTGTGTATTTTGTAAAAAATATTTGTGAAATAGTTAAGTGGTTATAAAAATTATTTTTTCACAAAATTTTTCTTTTCTTCCTAACCAAACTCTTCAGTATTATTATTATTTTTTTTTTAACATCCCCTCATACAATTATCATCATTATATTTTCTATTTGTAGCTCACTCAAAAAGAAAATTTCACATAAGAATGACAAAACTTTGGTTGTTGTGCCGTATTTTGACACAGTACATGAGGGTGAAATCCACTTAAATGTGGTCCTTGCAGCTTGCTGCCCAAACTAATAATGAGTTCAACTGAAATAAAAATCATAACAATCATTCTTAGCAGCTGCCTATTGTAGCAGCAACTCTTCTTCATATATTTCATCTAAAGCCGGAAAGATCTCTTCTTGGTCACACATAAGAGAAAAGTAAAGATCATCAACATAGGAATTTTGGAGTTTTATGATTTTGCTCCATGTTCTATATATACTTTTCTATTCACTGTTTTACAAGAGCCTATGGCCAATTCTGCAACAACTTGTTTAAGAGGATTGTTGTTTTGCAAGAGAGATCGAGGCATAATCGAAAACAGAGAAAGAGATAAAGAAATCGATCAAAAGAGGACAAAAACAAACCATCCGGAATTTTAATGTTATGCTTATCCTTTGATTTTGTGTCGAATATAAGCCAGAGGAGGAAAGAAATCGAAGAAGCAGGAGGATATCAATGAGAGAGAAGAGAGGCAGAAATGAAGAGGAAGGGAGAGAAATCAGGGAGAGAGAAAATCAAGGAGAGCCATATTGAATAACGTGGGAGTGACGTGACTTTGCCACATAAGAGTCGGACTATGATGTGGCTATGCCACATAGGAGTCGGATGAATAGTCGGCCAAAATGGTTGGATAGAGTATCATTGCTTTTAACAAATTTTCTCACTAATGATGTGTTCGATCGGTAGGAAGGAGGAAAGAAGTGTGGAGAGAAAATAAGAAGGAAGTTATTTCCCTTAATCGCGTGATACAAGGAAAGAAAGGAAAATGCAAACGTTGGGTCATCCTTTCTCCTTTACAAATTTTTATCGGCCCAAAAATGGACGGGAGGAAAAATAAGTGGACTATTATAGAAGTTTTAAATTAAATGCTACTCTTAATTATATCTGTTTTAAATTACAGTACCATCCTCTATACATATATTACAATTATAAATATTATTAGATATAATGGTAAAAATAATTAAAACTTTCTATTTTCTTCTCTCTTATTTGCTTATTCTCTTCTATTCTATCCAATCGAATAAAAAAAAAAAAATACATAATATCAGGGATGTCTCATCCATCCTTTATTCTCTCACTTCATCCAATTTTTTCTTTCCTATTGAACCGAGCATAAATTTGAATTTTTTCAAGCAAGAAAGTTATTGAACTTAGGAAAGGGTTACAATTTATTTCATTTGCAAACCTCATTTAATAACAATAAATAAAAAAAATTTAAAAATTGAGGGGCAGTCTTATTTTTTTTATAAAAAAATCGCAATCAATAACTATAATTTAGTATGATTAATAGAGTCGTGGATTTTGACGGTGTTGTATTAAATGATTAGTAATTAAAATGGGTATTTTAGACTTTTTCATCTATTTTCTTACCCTTCCCTCAATTTTCCTTTTTTTTTCATAAATGTGTTTGTATAAATTAAAAAAAATGTACAAGAGAACAAAGGGCATTCCCCCATAATGAAAGCACACCTAAGTAGGAGAGGATACATACATCCACCCCGGAATAGACAAACAAAACAAGGAATCAATGGAAAACAATCCACTACCCAAGCACATTAAATAAAAAAGAATCTAAAGCAAAAGTTCTGAAATTGAGGTATTTTGTATATCCAACACCTCCAGCAATAGACTCCTAGCAACAACTTCTGGATCCGAAGGATTTCCATGCAACCTTGCATTTCTCTCATGCCAGACACCCGACATAGCAGCAGCAAACAAGGTTTTATGATAGCCCGCAGAATTGAGATCCTTATACCAATGAAATAAATCCTCGAGTGACACAAGAGTATCAAACTGGAGCATGTCCCTACTCAATTTTTCTCTATCAAAGGAAAACATATTAGAGGAATGTTAGGGACAGTCACTAAGGCGGGTGTTCATTCACAGTCGCTATTCTTATTGGTCAGTAGAATTGTAATTCATTAATTTCAAATTTTCAACTTTTAATGGATGTTAAAACTATTTTTTTTTTTTTTTTTTTGGAGACAAAACAGCCCTTTTAAGCCTTTCATCCATCTCCTCAGTTCTCATTTCTCACTTAATGACGTTTACATATACCATGTATATATGCGCGCGCACACACACACATATATAAAGCATTACTTTCCTCTATTTTTATATGTATATATAGATATAAAGCTTTACTTTTCTTTTCAACCATGAATTCATATATATATAAATAGCTAACAATATGAGAGTGTATTCTTTCTTCTTTTTTATTTTTAATTCTGCCGTTTAACCTTTATATATATATATATATATATATATATATATATATATATATATTCTCTATATGAATTCATGGTTGAGAGGATTGCATATATATATATAAACTGGCATATGGATCTAACAAACGAAAAAGAAAAGGAAAGTAACCCATACGATCTAACAAGGAAAAAAAAAAAAGAAAAAAAGAAAAGAAAAGTAATGCTTTATATATATATATATATATGCATATATCTTTATATACATATATTGGCATACGGATTGAACAAAGAAAGGAAAAAGAGAGAAGAAAGTAATGTTTTATGTATATATATATACACAGCATTTATACACTTTACGTATAAACATCATCAAGTGAGGTTCAATTCAATTGCGTAAGTTTGGGGTTTGAAAAGTGAGAACTAAGGAGAGATGAAAGGTTTAAAAGGGTTGTTTTGACCCAAAAAAAAAATAAATAAATAATAGTTTTAATATTCCATAAAAAGTTAGAAACTTGTAATTGCCCATTCACAGTCGCTGTTTTTATTGGTGAGTAAAATTATAATTAATGAAACCATTAATTATAATTTTACTCACCAATAAAAACAGCGACTGTGAATGGGCAGTCGCCATCCTTAACATTCCTCAACATATTATTCATTTCTAACTTCCCTCCACTCTTCTTTCTTCTTTGCTATGTCGTCAGTGTACAATTCAACTTTGGGATTCAAAGTTGAAATCCAAAATGGCCCATTAATGCACATTGAATAAATGCATACTGGAATAGGAGGTTTGTTTGTTGGTTAATAAGAAGTTCTTAGCAATTTTTTTTTTTTTTTAAAAAAAAAACATCTGAATGATATAATTATTACAAGTGTTTTAATACAAATAAATCCCACACACAAACCTATTTATGCAATATCAACTAACAAATAATTGATGCAAGATTGAAGTTTGTTGCTTGAACGATCTACACAATGTTGCATTAACAATGCCACATTTAGTGTATATAGTAAACACACATATTTTAATGAGCAATGCTACAATTAATGACATTAATACAAAGTGAAGGGCGTGCATGGGAGGTTTTATCATTTTGACAGTTGAATTTCTTACTAGTTGAAAAAGTCAACAATTGTTGATTTCTTCTCGTTTATAAATTGTTACAAACATGCAATGATGTCTAGCTATTAAATTAATGCCAATAATGTCCAATTCAAAAATACAACCCTAGAGAAAAAATATAGTATAAAAAAAACTAGGTATACCCTAAAAATAAAACCTAAATGAACCCTAAATTGGAATGAAATTAAAAACAACATGCAATATCTACTAAACAAGGTAGTTAGATTGAAAAGAAAACTGGGAAAATTTAAAATCGTAAAGAGAAATTGGTTGGTAGTCACCAAAGAGAAAATACAGATGATAAATCATATCTAGAGAGAGAGTGTGTTGATTTCAAAGATTGAAGCCGCAGCGAGAGAGATTAATTTCAAAATGAGAGCGGTTGGAGGAGCTATGAGAGAGAATATAGAATATCTAATTTAAATTTAAATATATATAATTAGAATAACATCGACCACAGAAGGTATTAGCCAAGTCACATAGAGCGGAAGAGGGAGCGAGAGCGGGAGCGGGAGCGCGAGAGCGGCATATCCCAAAAAATCTTAGAGCGGGAGCGCCGTTAGAGCGCCGCATTATAAATATATAAAATATTAATATATATGTTTTAAATATATTTCATATAAATAAAAAGACAGAATAGTGAATCAAATATGAGTCCATTATAACCAATATAACCTGCTTTATATAAATGCATAAATTAATAAAC